GCAATCAGAGAGGCAACCTTTTCAACCGGAGATCACTGACCCCTCACTGATCCTCCTGCTGCAAGGGTATGGGATCCACCTGAAGATGGCTGCTCTGTCAGTGACAGTATAGCACCATTCTCAAAAAGTGGGGTAAAGAGTCCGTGAAGAAGGTCTTGTGGGGGGATCGTTCCTTTGTCCATCAATGGCTCTAAATGGTCATGATAGACTAACGGAGCCTACTGTCACAACCTACGGAGCACCTTACCAACAGTGTTTGTATATTATATTCTCTTACTTGATTGGACGGTTGTAGTGGTCCGCGAGCTGGGGATGCAGGTTCATGGGTTTATTTGTGACACTTGGGATTTTCAAGGTTAAATGTTTTTATGGATGTACACTGTACATAGACGATTAAGGGAATTAGGTGTTCTATTGAGTTGTTTCACTTTAGTGTGGTGTGACGGTTTTTGGGGGTCACTGTCTGGATGGGGGCGCATGACGGATGTGTTTAGACGCGCGGCTCTATGGTCTGTGTTAGTGTGCGGTAGGGTTGGCTTTAATGTGATGCTGCTTTGTGTTATTGGGTTCTGGGAAAGCGGCTCTATATAAAAAATATCTGTTACCACTTGCTCTCTTAACGTTCTTATCCGTTTATTCATGATGGTGGTGTTTTCTGCTAATTGCATATTCATATTGAATCTTTTCCTGCATTATTGTTAAAGTAACTGTATTTTGAATAGTTTCTCCAAAAAATAATTTTTTGAATAAACACGTTTATCCTTGTTGCGGTGACAATCTTCAGGGAAACCTCCACTCACGAGATCCTTCTACAAATCTGGCTTTTGTACATTGATGACATAGGGGAGAAACCTCAGCGGGACACAGCGGCCCTCGTCCACCAGGAGCAGGCGGCCAGCTGTCAGCAGTGTCCCACAAGCATAAGGCCAGTTAACCATGGCAGCCTGGTGAGAACGCACACGCTCGAGGACAGGTACAACCAAAACACAATGACTCCATATTTAAAGATAATGTTTTAATGTTTGTTTTCCCACTTTTTACAGGTATGACACGGCCAACTCCCCACGCTACAGGCATGAGCAGGAGTTTGCGCAATTAGCACGCGCTAACCGCCGATTGAGCAGCCAGCGTGCCCGCCGCGGAGCAGCACTCAATCCGCATCGAGGGACCAACTTACCATCTACCAAATCCAGGACCAGGTCCACGGGATACAGCTGAAGCCCCCAACAACTGTGATTCACCCACGGGACCTACCACCACTGGACGCGCAGAGACACAGACTACAACGGCACATGTAGTGGGCGTGAATAATTCGCTTTGTAAAACATTGGGGTAAATGGTGGGTGCTCTGGGCGGTGAGGTTGCCAGTGGCTGCGAGCTCACAAATTTTGGCACCTGGGGGGGCGTCTGGTGGCGTTATTCTAAAGGCTAGCCCTCCTCGAAGTCTGCATGATGTTATGTATCATGGTAGTTTGGTGTGAGGAGGGGGGGTGATGTTGGGTTATGTATCGACTGGGTAACTGATGGCAGATGGGGTCGGTCAGCGTGCCTCTGGTGGGGGGATCGGGCGTTTATGGGACGGGGAATTGCGTTATCAGGTTATCTGTATGGGGGCGTGGGGTCTTTTCTATATTTGGGCGTGGTTGTTGTTAATTTTATGAGTTTTATCGGCGGGGGCTTGGGCTGATCGTATGGTGACTTGGCTTGTGTTTTGTTTCTGAGGGACCAAATTTGGGGCCTATTTATGTGTGTTAAATTTTAACTGTGAAGCCATAGGATGAGGTGAACAGCTTACAGTCAATGTGGAAAGCGAGGGGGTGGGGGTTGATTGTTGGTCTCAAGGCCTGATGTGAAGTTATAGGGAGAAGTGGGTGGAGTTTTGGGTCTTCTACAAGTAATATCACGGAGCCACTCTCGTTCCTTCGATTCTGTCATGTTTGCAGCTTTCTAAGGAGCTCAGGATCGTGTCTCTCCTTACTGCTCACTTCCTCTATGGAGTGTTGCATCCACCAACGATCACAGGATCGGGCTGGAAATAAGGGGGGAGTTCCTTGCAAGGTAGGATAAGTGCAGTTGAGATTGACTCAGGGAAGAACAGTTCTACACAACAGCCCGACTCGGGAGACATGGGGGGGACGCTCATATGCCTCTTTTCTTTATTATTGATTTTATAACACTACGGGTTATAGCTCTTGATGCCTACATGGACTGCACCTTGCTCATAGAAAGAGACCTTTATATATGTTTTATTAATAGGCTACATTAGGTACGACTAATTCCCTTCGACAGGTTGTAACTGTATTTCTTATGTTTGGTTTTTTGTGACTGCGTGATGCCACTCATGACCATCAGTTCTCCACGGGTGTAGGGTTTGTGGGGTCCCGACCGCAGCTGGTACTGCTCATCACCGCGACACTTCGGGTTAACTGGGGGGGGGGTGTACAATGACAATGGGCTTTAACGGTGAAGCGCATATTATCACAACATATGGCGAGTTGGGTGGTTTCTGGGGTAAATGTAGGAGAATGTGCTCACACAAGCCTTAGCAGCAGGTGGCGGATGATGGTTGTGGTGGTAAAACGAGACTCTTTGTATTGGGATGGTGGGCCAATTTGGCGTTAGTTTTTAACTGTGTGAATGCAGGTGGCTGTGTCACGTGCGACGGCAGTGAGTCTTAAACTGGCCTGCAATCGATGGGCAAATCGATCTGCGCAAGGGGTGTATGATGGATGACATGGGGTGCTATTGTATGTACCCAATTTTGTCCTGGAAATAGTAAAGTATGTATTTCTAACAGAGCTGTGTTTTTGTCACACAATGTACTTGTATAAATTGAACATGGCGGTGACCTGGTTAATGGGTGGGATGGTTGTGGTATTTGGAGTAGTGGTACATGGCCAGTTGCTTATACTTATGGGGACCTGTGCTAACCAGTTCGCGGAGATTATGACGTTCTATATTTCCTGTACGTAATAATTTGTTATCAAGCTAATATTATAGAGACTCTTTTGGTTTGTTTTTAATGTTGTGATAACCTCCCCCCCTATTGAGTGTTATTTTTAAGGTTGCACTCAGTTCTATAATAAGAAAAATATTATTTATATAAATAATTCTGATTTCTCCCTTTTGCGTCGCACAATAACAGCCACGTCCTGTTTGAGTTTGGAAACACACTCCTCCAGCTGCCCTGAGAAGTCTCGCAGCAGTCGCCCTTGTTCATCCACGAAGAACCGCAGCCCAAGGAGATCTGACTCTTCCTGCACACAATATATGTGTTAAAGTGACATTCTGCGTGTTTGTATAATCATTATTATTATGATTATTATTATTATTATCAAAGCATACACTGGGCCTGTGTCTGCGCAGCCGCTGCAGCTGGCCCCTCACAGACGTCATGCTGTGGTAGAAAACCTTCAGCGCTCGAGCAAATTCTGCATCACAGCTGGGACGCGCAGAGCGCCCGCCTGCAGCAAGAGCAACTCTGTAGTCCATCCATGTAGCTTCTACACATTTATACAACACAAACAAAACAAACCATTCCTGGCAGCGAGTTGTTCTCTCAAATTCTGATTTTCCTTTTTCAGTAAAGAATTCAAACTCTTCATCTCCTCTAAGTCTCTCTGAAGGAATCTGATCGAACTGTTCCGTTCACAGTCCAAAGTCTGATGCAAAAATATAATAAATATATATAAACCCCATCAGGGAAAATGAACTGAAATACTAATCTACTCCATAAAGAACTCACCGCTGTGTCAGCGGGGCCTGGATTATCAATAATAACTATACTGTCTGATGTCAGTCTCATGTCATCCAAAGACGATTTCAGTTCTGCACACCCATCTGAAACAAGAACACTTTTAAACATTGAAAACACAAGTGAGTAGTTATTGGGTTGTGGGTGAATGTACCCTGAAGGCCCCAGAGCTCCAGAACAACTGCACTGCTTTGAAGATAATCCAGGAGTGACTGAGACGTCTGCAGTGAAGCAAAATGTACTCTGTGATCCAGCAGAGGGTTGATGTTGTGCCATGCAGCCGGAGTGTACAGTGGCTGACTGCAGTCAAACATCTTAAAACTGGAAAATTAGATGGAGAAAAATCTACAAAAGGTTCATGAATATGATGTATTATTAGTATGGCGCATACCCGACTTGAACACCTCTGTTGTGGGCCTCTCTAACCCAGCGCAGACCACAGCACTGCTCCAGAACCAGCTGGAAGTCCAGACGACGTCTCAACAACTCTGAGGGGTCAATCAGGATGTCGTCCTCACTCAGGGCTCTGACAAAGCAAACAGTCTCTTAGAAAAGTTATTATTGTTAATGTTTCAACAAAAACATACAGTCCTGTGGAGGAGCAGGGAACCAGCTGAGCTTGCAGGATGGCCTCCTCTGTTCCTTCAGACCCTAAGACCTGCACATCCACAAGGACAAGCCTTTAGTCAGATAAATATTCATGTTTGCATTTGTAGCTCAGACCTGCAGTTGTTCTTCAAGAGGGATGCAAAAGGCCAAAGTCTGGAGCCACAGATGAGCAGTTCCCAGGAGCAGAGGCTCAACAGGATCCCAAAATGGGTCTTGGTCTCTTTCAAACTTGACCACAGAAACACAGCTCTGAGGACATGTGTGCATGGACATGTGAGGAAACATTACATCCAACCACAATACAAAAAAGAAACTGCTGTAGGTAAACATACATTCTCTTCACTCTGTGCTGCCTGATGCTGCTGGTACATTTCTTCCATGAGGAATTTACGGTTTACAAACTTTGCTTTAGACCACATCCATACCTTGTATGAGAGGAGAAATCCACTTAAATAGATTCAAATTAATTTAAAAGACTAGTGTATAATACGGACTGCTGTAATACCTGTTTACTCTCCACTGTAGTGACTCGAACAACAATATCTTTTTTTAGATCATGGCCTTTCGAATCAGACAGAGCAAGGTTCTTGATCTCAAGTTTGAAATCAACACCCTACAAACAAATATGACACATACAAATACATCTAATTGTACAAATGAAATACAAGTGTTGTGAAAGGTTAACCTTGTGGAGCTCCTGGCTCATCTGGTTGGCCTCCGTCACCATTGGCATAAGTTTAATGTAGTCATAGAAGACTGCTAGCAAGCTAGGGTCAATTTGTTTTGACCCAAGGCTGGGCTCACCAACAGCTATTCAAAGTAAAATAATATAAATATGCATAGGTTTGTCTTCATCAAACTGGCTCACCAATGTGGATGCCTTCAGCTGTAGCAAGCTCTGCTTGGAAGTAGTCATAATCATAGCAGTTCCAATCGCACCCTTCACGTTCTGATGGGAACCCAATGAAAAGGTAAGTACAGTTAGAGCCCAGAATCAACCGGTCCTGTAGGAAAAAACCGACAACAGTCAAATCTGATCATGTCTGACAGTGTTGTAAAAACTAACCAGATGCTGTAGGACAGTTGTCTCACAAATAGTATTTCCATTTACTATCACTTTAGACCCCGCAACCGGGGTCAATGTGACATGCCGCTGCTCGTTCCGGAACACTGCGTGGCGTTCTTGTATTCTGAAAAAAATGAGCCCACGTAAAATGTCACTACTTCTGCTCATTTGTGTTATTGAGCCTCCTTAAAATGTTTAAATACCACTAACATACCCTAGTCCTTTGATGGAGATAGACTTTGGAGTCGAGTCACTGAGGCCCACAGCCCATTCACCTAGAACACAGTGAGAGCTCAACAGGGGGAAATGCTGCCCTTGCATCAGCAGAGATCTACATCAACACTATAGTTGGACTAACCCTCTTGTATGAACAGTTTAACCACCCCAGAGAGCTGTGCGTCCTCATTGATGTTCAGAATGTAGGGGTGCATCTGCATCATCCTCCGCTCCTACAGCAGCAGGTGTCAGATAAACATCTACAAACCCACATTTGCAGAGGCATGAGAATGTTGCACCTTTGTGATGTGGGCGTACTGCTCTTCCAGGTCCTTGAGCGCCTCCTGCAGGTGCTGTTCCCAAAGTGTCTGAATGGCCTTGATCTGCAGCTCATTGTGGGTGAGCAGCTGTCGAAGCTCCTCTGAAACATGGGGTTTGTCTCTTAATGATCACTGTTGTTGTGTGTATATTGATTGTGTGTTGCTCACTGGTCTCGTCACAGGGCCGGCGCCCGTCCTGTCCCAGGCGGCTCAGTCTCTGCACCAGTCTGGCGTTCTCGGCCTTCAGCTCTCTGACCAGACGCTCAGTGGGACTCTCATTCACAACAGCTCGATTCTGAATGCGCTTGGCCCTGAACAAGTAATTGCATTCATTTCGTAAATCAATAAAAGGAGGAAAATATATTTTCCATGTATACAGTAAATACTACACACTATATACACACTACACACTACACTTTGCATACACTTGCATTACATTCAAATTGTTGATTGAGTCAATGTTTTGATTGTGATAATGAGGCCATAATAGTTAAAGATATTACTAGTTAGATTAATGTGGTAAAAGTATTTTTTTTTCTGTTATGAAATTACATCTATCCATTCATTAAAAAAATTCCGCTTCATCCGTTGGCGGTTTACGGGGGTGACAGTCTAAGCAGAGATGCACAGACTTCCCTATAAACACACTTCCTGCAGCTCATCCGAGGGGGACCCCAAGGCGTTCCCAGGCCAGCTGAGAGACATGGTCCCTCCAGCGTGTCCTATGTCTTCCCCGGGGCCTGTGCCCCGGATGTATATATATATATATATATATATATAGATATATATATATATATATATTATTGTGACTTCTATGAGGTTGAAACTAAGTAGTGTAACGTATTACATGTTTCAGAAGTAATCAGTAAAATGTAACTAAATACTTTTTCAAAGGAACTTCCCCAGCACTGGTAGTGAGGGCAAAGCTGTAATAGCTTCAAAGTCATCAAAATTCATTTAATAATAATCATCTTAGTACTTTAGACACTTGCATAATTCATTCATCTGCCCTGGGGCAGAATGACAAAAGCATCAGTGTTACCTTTCAGCGTAACGCAGAGTTGAGAGTGTTTCTTCAAAGCAAATATCAGCAGGACTGAGAGTGGCAATCTGCAATGTTAGGTTCTGAGAAGATGAACATTTTTATTTTGAAAAAAATGAAAATTAAATGAGCGTTACCATAACAGTGCGGCTGTTGCCTCCCAGAGCTGACTGCAGAAGTTTGGTAAGAATGGACTCTCTGTAAGGAATGTGCACCACCTTTTTACCCACCGCCACATCAGCGAGGGCACTGGAACACAAGAGGAGAGAGTATTAGATATCAGTAAATAAGATATTGACATTTACTTTGTTATAGAGAACCATACCTTGTATTGTTTTACATTTCCTATTGTTTTACAATGTATACCTTACATTAGTAAACTATCAACAATATTAGAAAGAAGTGCATTGATTTCCTGTTGAAAAAGACATTTCACTGTGCTTTGACAATGCAGTGTGTCAGAGGGACAGAGGAAAAGCCCCATGTCTCAAATTCTGGACCCTTCAGGGTTACTAACATGGTTGGAAACTGTGTTGTGAATAAGTGATGCAGCACGTTGACCTGATGACGTTGCCCAGAGTGGTCAGGCTCAGGTTGATGGCCATTCCCTCTCGGAGTCGATCCGCTTCAGAGCCAGACGCTCGCTGCCGTTCACTGCCAGCCAAATCCACCAGGTTTATGTTGGAGTGCTTTGTAGTGCTTTCTTTTGAGAAGATCTGCATCATGTACATTCTACTCATGCTGGTGATTTGAACCCAGAAAGAATGGTGAGGTTCCGATAGTCTACTGCTCATACCTGTTTGAGCTGCAGGCTGATGAGCATGTGAGAGCGGCTGCTGTTTGCGTTCATGTAAGTGGCGGCAGTGGTCCGAGTCCTCGTGCCCTGCTCCATCAGCTGTTCAACCTGCAGACACACTATGGTTACATCAAACTACACTCAAAACATATAGTAAGTAAAGTAAGTAAGTAAAGTTTATTTGTATAGCGCCTTTCACAGACCAGGGTCACAAAGCGCTTCACACATTAAAATACAAAATACACATACAAGTCAGATAAAACAAACACAGAAAACACAATTTACATTCACAGAGGCCTATGAACAATGATGAACATTGATGAACAATCATCAACAGAGGAAGCTCATTCCAAAGGCGAGGAGCAACTGCCTGGAAGGATCTGTCTCCTCTGGTTTTGAAACGAGTCCGGGGGACCATCAACAGGTTCTGAGTAGAGGACCTCAGACTCCTGTTGGAGACATAAGGGTGGATCAGGCCCTGGATGTATTCAGGCGCCTGACCATGAAGGGCCCTAAAAGTCAACACCAGAATTTTAAAATGTATTCTGTGTGAGACAGGGAGCCAGTGTAAGGCCTTCAAGACAGGGGTAATGTGGGCTCTGCTGTGGGTGCGGGTCAAAAGCCTTGCAGCAGAATTTTGGACGACCTGTAAACGAGCCAGGTCTTTTTTAGTAAGACATGTAAGCAGGCTGTTACAGTAGTCCAATCGCGAGGAAACAAAAGCGTGGACAATCATCTCCAGCTCCGGACCCGAGACCATTTGTCTGAGCTTAGAGATGTTGCGCAAGTGGAAATTGCAGTTTTGGGTCAGCTGTTTGGTGTGTCGTTCTAGGGACATCCCTCCATCAAAAGTGACTCCCAGGTTCCTCACACTCTTTTTTACTGAGCTACTTAGGTCACCAAGGTGTTGAGCAATAACAGAAACAATACTGTCCGGGGCTAATAGGTTGGTATTTTGGTTGGTTTTATCTAGTTGTTAGTCGTTCAATTCAATTCATTTTATCCTTGTATAGCGCTAAATAAGGGCTCCGAGATAAGTATTATCTTGGAGGACTTTATACATTCGATGATTTTGTCAACACAAATTAGAGAATCAAAGAGTTCAAACACAAGAAATAAGAAAAGAAATTGGTATTGATCCATAAGGGACAGATGACAAGTGTTGATAAATGGGCATAAATGTTGTTGAAATGTTGAGTCATCGACCAATCTTTTGGTTAAAACAACTCATTTATAAATCCATGTGTTTTCAACCATTCAATATTGGTCATAGCGTAACATTATTCTAACTAATATTGGATCAGAAGGACCAATATAGTTGGCTGACCACCACTGCCAACTGATTTAAAAAATTAAAAGTCCTTTATCAAAATTCTTTATTGGAGGAGATATCAATGTTGCATCACAAGTTACAGAACAGTAGGAAAGAGAAGCACTGAGACAACACAAGACAAGTGAATATTAAGTACAATCAATCAATTTGTTTACAGTAAAGATTTAACTTTACAAAAGCGTGTTCACCTGTTGTGCCGTTTCACAAGGAACAGTGCGGAGGCCCTCCACATAAAAACCTCGGTGCTGCTCCTCTCGGACTCGGAGACCCGCCGCAACACGAGGACCTCGAGACAACAGATCGATAACCTGCAAAATGAGCCGGCAAGAAAACTGGCAGATCAAGTCCATCATGAGGATTCTGACAGCATAGGCTACAATCTATACCTGTTCATTATAGATCTCCAACATACTGAAAAACACCTGTGAGAAGTACCACCATCATCACCACCAGATGCAGAAGTTTATCCAAATGTAGAATGTGAACTTTACCTGGCATCGCCTTGAGTCCTGGTTTTCCCTGATTGAGGAAAAAAGCTGCTCACAAAGTTTTGGGACCAAGCCTTTGTTGGCCCCATATCCCATCATCGAGTAACTCTTTCCTGAACCCGTCTGTCCATAGGCCAGCAGAGTGGCATTGTATCCCTTCAACACAAAGAGCTTGTTTTATTGATCCATATGTATACTGTATTGTGTAAGTGATATATTTAATAACCTGTAGTGAATTTTCCAGTATACCTTCTCCTAAGTCCTGGAACACAGTCTCCTGCACATATCCAAACAGACAGTAATTTATGTCGGTGATATATTATATTAAACTGTATGTCCACACCTGGTCAGCATAGCGCCCTCCAGCGTCTTCAGGGAGGTACTTCCCACTGATGTCTCGTATGAAACCACTATGGGACCAGTAAGTGTAATCAAAACAAAAAGAGCGTCTGTTCTGAGGGTCACGTGGATCTTGGAGTGTGATGGAGCTTTGGACCATTGAGATGATGCAGCGACTTCCAGCATCTCTCTCCCTCTGAAGAAGGGACAGTATTCATTTAAGATATACCTTTAAATACTAGTAAATCTAAATTGAAAATGAGGAAAAAGTTCAATAAAAAAACAAACAAATGTACAAGAATTCCAACCTAGGGCAAGAAGACCCCTAGTGGTTCGCAAGGGTATAGATGGGTACTTCAAGTATAAACCTTGAAGATGTTTATAGGGTATATAAACATTGAGATAATATTGCAATTAATACTTGTTCTAATAACAGGTAACCTTCCATGCTGTTAGTACAGTTTTGGTTCAGTCTAAGCATCTACTATTATTGTTAAATAAAACACCTACATCATGAACAAAACAACAACCAGTTCCAAGAAAAGAGCTAAAAACAAACTTTACAAAGAAGATGAAGACCTTAGTATCACAAAAAAGGTGTGACTCCCCAAGACTGTATCTATTAAATCGTTCTTATATGTTTTTTTTTATCTGTGGCAACCGTTTTGATCCGTTTCAAAGCAGGTAAACAGGGGACCATAATAAACCAGGTACAGTTTAAAGTGCACTACAGTCATGATTGTAGAATATTCTGGCTAGAGTTCACTTCTAATGGAGGAGGTGTGAACGCTAAAAGGTTTCTCACCTTGTTAAAGGGCCGGACCCTGACGGCCACTCGGACACAGTCCTTGTTCATCTCTGGCCTCATGTCCTGTCCATGTCCCACAGAAGCTCCAGAGGACACTGATCTGCCTTTCTCTCCTCGTCTACAGCAGTGTCCAGTTACACGATGGAAAGTATACTACCGAAGGATATTAACTTTCACTTTAAAGCTTGCGTGCATTTCTAAAGCCCAAGTTCCATAACTGATCAAAACAAAGGAACAAGCATAACCAGGGCCCCAAGTCAAGATGTGTAGTCTGTCTTTGGCTTCATTCTATAAATGAGGCTCACTTCCATTTAGTCAAAGTTGTAGTGAAATAGGACACCAAGACTGTGTTCAAGCTTTGCCATGTTTATCAAAAAGCAGTCTTCAAAATACAATTAAACATACCGGTACATTCATCAAAAAAACTTGATATTTGCATGGATGTATTGGATGTTAGCCAAGCATCTAGGCATACCACAGCTGAACACATCCAAAACCCTATGCAGCCATTCTTTCACTTACAGGCCAAGCAACAGTTTACAAGTTTGTTATTTACAAGAACATTATAAATTTAAGACTAAAATAAAGGCTTTGGAGAAACTTCAAACTACAAAAACAAACGTAATTGTTTAAGGATTCCTTTATTAACATAGCAAAAATACTATATACATTTTATTTGTATGAAATACTTTATGGATTGGTTGCCTTTTCCTTTAATAGAAAAACAGCCGTCATCAAAATAAAAACGAATAAAATTAGAATGTAAATAAAAACCTTTCATCAGAGGGGAGTTTTGATCTGACTTATTTGAAAGTATAACCACAGATCACACTCTTCTTTTGCCATTTTGCACACAGATAAGCAGTTTCCAATAGTTGCATACGACTAGCAAAATATAGCATATGTTCTCTAAGAGAAATAGATTTTTAAGGGGTGGGACATGTACATGTCAAAAATAGTCCTTTTTTTACACAAAGTGAACAGTCCCCAAAGTATCTCCAGACGATGCCTTTGCATTATTGTATGTAGAAGCAAATAAATGTATATTTACACAAATAAACTACTTTTCAGCCGAAGCACAAAAGAAAAACAGTCGACAGTATTATGGGCGACAGAGTCACACCTGAGGTTTTAGGTTCAAAGACCAGCCTCCTATAGTTTCTTTCTCCGGGTGACCGGCTTGGTTAAGACCGTGCCCATAATACGTTTGCGTCGAAAGTTCATGGTCGACGTTGGACCGTCAACTTCTTTTGTCCTTTTCTGAGCCCGGCGAACAGGATCAGCAGGACTTGGCAGAGGAGACAGTAGGTCGACTTCAGCTATTAAGGTTGGCTCAAGCGCTGCTTTAGGCCTGAAATAAAATTTGAAATAATTAAAAACATAACTAAACATCAACTGAAAGTGGGAAATCATACTTTGTCGTTCTTTTGCTTGTTTTTCTAGTATTTGGCACAGAGGGCTCTTCTACAGGATTGTCCTCAGCCATCACAACCTGTTAATAAAAATATTTAGTATTCAACATAATGATCAGCAGCTTTTTTTTTTTAAACTTCCATTCACCTCAAGATCAACACTGGACACCTTTCTGCTGCGAGTGACAGGACCAGTCCGACTGGGAGACTCTACAGCCTTTGCTAAAACAGAACATACTGACATGTAATCCCTTTAAATAATAGTTTGCAGTTTAGTTGAATGAATTAAACAAACCTCTTGTTCTTGATCGTGAGGGGGAGTAGATGAACGAGCTCTCGCCTTGACTAGAGTTGTCATCGGTGTCAAAGAGAGCACAGTTCACCAACGGAGCCTCAGGAAGAGTCACAGACTTCTTACTGGATCTTGTAGATCTTGTAACTACAAAACAATATTGAGGTTTAATAAAGTACATGTGATCGACTTTACACCTTGAGTTTGTCTCTACACACCTTCCAGCTTTTGTTTTTCATCATGAAGCCTTTTGATGAGTGCATCTGCTACTGGGGTCTCCGAGTCCACTTCCAAAGGAGGGTCCAATAAAGGCTGCTCCTGCTCAGGCTGGTCCCACAATTTCTTTTTAGTCTTGTGAAGGGAGTCCACATCCCTCTTGGGTTCCGGCTCAGACTGGTCTTGGCCTTTTGCTGCCCTTCTCTTCACACTCTGAGAAAGCAAAAGAGGAACCAGTTTCACCTGGAGGGAAAACCTGTTTACTTCTAAATGAAATAATGCGATATGGCAGAAATGAAATGTAATGTAGATGTCTGTTACCTGTGGATAAACGCTTAAAGTGTTGCGGTTGGATTGTCGTGTGGTTCTTGCAGGACTGGGAGAATGTAGATCATCATTTTCTTTGTAAACAGTTTGAATCGGCTCAGGTTTGGTTTTTTGGATGGTCAGTTTTGCAGGTGTTGCACTGACAAGCTCTTGTTCTTCCAATTCTTCTTCAAGTGTTTCCAATGAATGTGGGACATTTTCACTGACAATACCAGTCCTACGACTAGACCTTCGAGGGGTAGTTGATTGTGCCACTTTCCTTTTGACAGGGGTCTTGCTCCGGCTAGGAGACTTTTCTTCTGAATGTGTCACTACTTCCTCTTGTTTCACCTCTGCCTCAGGATTTGTTTCAGCCTCCTCACTGTGAATCTTTTTGCTGCTTATTGAAGAGTTCCTCTGTGAACTCCGTGTTCTGCCTGGAGACAAAGTCTTGGTGGTGCTGGAGACAGTGTTATCGCTCACATTTTCTACCTGTTCCTCCCTTTGTTCTTCTTGAGGTTCAGGTTGAGAGCTGCGAGTACTTCTCCGAGGTGTACTAATAATTTCTTTTACTGGTTTGCTTCTTCGAGTTAAGCGAGCAAGAGGGGTGGCATTTGTTTTGTGCTCATGTTCCATCGCAGCTTTCTTTTCAGGCTTTCTCTCGGTGTTGTGAGTCTCTTCAGGCACAGGGGAGATGAAGGTGACCGTCCTGTTGGCTCTGGTGGTCCTTCGAGTTGGGGTATTGGGAGCCTGTGTCTTTATACTCGAGTCTGAACTCTCAGACTGTATGTCTGGAAGATCAGCCCTCTGTTCTTGTTTCTTTGTTCTGCCCTTATTTCCTGTTCGTTTTGTCTCTTGTCTTGATTCAGTCTCTTCCGCTTGAGCATCAACAGATGCTGTGTCCTGCTCTGACTGTTGTGCATCTTCTGACTTAGATAGGACTGCTTCTTTGAGTGGCTCTTCTGGTTCATGTGATTCCATTTTGTTTTCAACTTGCAATGGAGCATCAGAAATCTCTTCAACTTTAACCTCAGAGCGTTCACCAACTTGCACAGATACCTGAACCTTTTCCTTGCTGGGGTTCTCTTCTGTCATATCCTTATTGACCAATACAGATTCTTTCAGAGCCATTTCTTCATTATTTAGTAGGTTTTCTGGAGCTTCCACCTCTTTTGGAATTTCTATATCTGATTCCATTGGAATTTCTACTTTGGGGAATTCTGTATGTCCCTCTTCAAAGACATGTTCTGGTAAGTTTATTTCAACTTGATCTATATCTTCTGCCCCAGCAAGAGCCACTGGCTCCTCCACTTCTTTGATTTCTGCATCCAAGACTTCATCCACAGATGGCTTTACCTCAACGGGAGCCACTGGTTCCTCCATTTCTTTGATTTCTGCTTCCAAGACTTCATCCACAGGTGGTGTTACCTCGACACAAGCTACTGGCTCTTCTATTTTGGCATCCAAGACATCATTCACAAGTGGTTTTACCTCAACAAAAGCCACTGGCTCTTCCATCTCTTTTATTTCTGTGAGCAAGACTTGAGTAGACAGAGGATTGTTCATGATATTTGTTTCAGGCTCTTTGTCCCCATCTTCCTCTAAATCCAAGGTAAGAGAGAAGCTGCTTTGGCTTTCAGTTTTGTGGTCATTTGAAACATCAGTTTGAAAAATATCGTTAGGAACTTGCTCAGCAGAGATGTCCTGTTCCTCTACAAGCTCCAAAGGAACCAACAGAGTAGATGAGGGTTTGAGCTCCAGATAAGATGCCGCTTGAGCCACCTCTTCGTCTTGATCCATGTCCTGTTCATCAGTGCCCAGGTGCACCATAACAACCTCTCCAATACCATCTTCTTCAGCACTCTGTACAAAACAATAGAAATCTTGAAATATTTTTTCCATTAAACACTGAAGATTATGTTAAAAAGGACTGAATGCTAAACGGCTGACTGGGTCAAATTAAGGAACAGTTCATTTGTGCAACATATTGAAGGTTTGCAGCATAATGTATGAAGTATCATTGTTCCTTTGTCAATGATCCTCATTGTCAGAGGACGTGGGTGACGCAGTTACGCTGCATAACTTCAATATACAGATTTACGTGGCAATGTTTGTCTTAAAAATTGTTGGGCTCTGAACTTTCGACACTCGTCCAAAGCCACAAAAGAATATGCTAACACTAGACCAAATTCTTCCAGCTAATTTCGGCTTTGCCAATAAACACAAGCCAGTTAAAGCAATAATCAACTGGAGTCAATCATTCAGGCAACTTAAGTTCCAAATTGAAAATCTATTTACATCAGCTTTTAGTCAGGGATGTAACAAGTTAATGGATTATTTAAATAAGCCATCAACTAATTAACTAATCAAAATTAATATGAACCATTCTGAGAACAGGTATGACTCAGATATTTTTATAATGAATAAATGAAGCAAGTTACAAGTACCGTAGTTATTTTCACCTTGATTTCAGAAGAAAAAGCTTCAGCATCTTGTTCCAACAAATTTGGCAAGCAGTGGCTTTGTTCTTGTACGATATACTCTGACGACAGAGCAGGAGGTGGTCTGCCCTGGATCTCTTCTATTATCTCCACTTCACTCCCAGAGTCCTCTTCCTCATCATCCTCCCCATCCTCCTCCTCCTCCTCCTCCTCCTCTTCTTCATCCTCCTCCTCATCTTCACAGTCCTCTTCAGAAACGGGTCGGGAGAGATCCTCACTGTCATTTATACTGAAAACAGCTACAAAAAAACAGATGGATTAGAGAAAGGAGGAGACATACATCAGCTGCAGTTCGGTGTTGCTCACAGTGGGAGTCTGTGCCTGTGGGCTCAGAGGAAGTTATGGAGGTGGTCGATTTCCGAGAGGGGAATACTGGGGCTTTGCTGGAAGCAGTTTGCTCCTCCTCTGCCTCTTGATCCACAAAGTCACTGAAAATAAATGAATGAGCTGCTATTCATAGCTTCCAATTCAACACATACAAAAGAAACAGGAAAAAATTATTAATACCTGTTGATTGAAGTTTGAGCAAGTGATACAGAATGTATTCCTGATCGAGTCAAAGACAAGTCATCACCGAAGAGATGCTTCTGGACAAACTCTGTCAAGTCTAGTGCAAACAAAAATAGATCATAATGAACAAAGCTTTGTGTTTTAGAAGATGCCGCACTATTTTACACTAAACGCTTTGCTGTGTTAGAGTGAAAAATGCTGCTACATATGCAGATTATCTTAAGTTCGGCCACACATAAAAATACATGACTTGAGTTTTTTTAAATGAACCTGCAGACTGCTCCAATTCTTGCTCTGTTCGGTTGGTAGGTTCAAGATTTTCTGATGGTTTTAGAGCCTCTGGGTCCTCTGCAGATTCAGGGATAAAAGATTGCTCACACACATCCACAGGCTGGGAAACTGAAGCTCCAATCAGATCATTACCACCTTAAGAAAAAATACACAAGGCATCAAAAGACTGGAATTTCCCTTTTTAATTGATTATGATATTGAGACTATACCATTAGATGTGTCCTGCTCAGAGTTTGCATTAATAAGAGCTTCATTAGTTGCTTCTTGATCCCAATTGGTTTCTGGAATGCCTTCAAACTCTACATCATCGTGATCTCCCAACACCCCCTCAGATTTATCCAGAGGCAGTGCCTCCTCAAACATCTCTTCAGAGTGAACTTGGGTTTGGGGTTTGCTTGCGTCTTCTTCTGGGGTTTCAGAGCTCACTATTCCATTGTCCCTGTCCACATATTTGTCATCCTCCGATTCCTCTGCAAGGGGAGCATCATAGAACTCTAAGGTGGTATCAGCTGACCGGACAGAAGTGTGGCTAGTTTCAAAACTTAAAACCAGCTGTGCTCCTGATGTTCTAGTCTCCTCCGTGTCGTAATGCTCTGAGGGGGGATTGGATACACTCTGGTGTGGTGAGACACTGCCACCAGTCATCTCATCAGACAGTGGCTTCTCATGTACATCCTCCTCTTCCTGCCTTTCCACCTCCTCATCTTCAGCTTGTGAAGACCAGGATTTGCGTGTGGCTTTGGAAAGCAAAGCCCCTCGAGTAAGAAGACGAATCTCATCATCAGATGCCTCCTAAACCATATAAAAATCAAGCAATCAATACAATTATATTTGAAAGGCCATTACATACATTTCATCGTAATGAAAAGAACAAAACATTTTCATACCCCATTGGTCCAAGGAATGCTTTTCTCCATCTCAGGAGAAACTGCAGCTTCAATGAAGGTGATCCTATTCTCCTTACGGGGAGGGGGAGTGACTGAGCGCCTTGGAGATGCAGAAGGTGTGGCCACAGGGGTCGGTCTGAGACTGGTCCGCAGAATGGACTGAGGAGTGAAGGCGGCAAACACAGGCCCAGACGCAGCCAGAGCTCGAGCTCTCTGAACAATAGACAAACATAAATAACCTGAAATATACGCCTAAGCAAAGACGTGTATAATTAAATTTTTACCTTGACAACCTGAGGGGTTTGCAGTAGACTGAGCTCTGGAGCATTGCTGACCCTTTTTGGTGAAACCCAGGAGGTGGGAGGTCTGGGAGGGCTCAGGAGCACCTGAGGCATTTGACTGGGTTGCACCACTAGCTTCATCAGCCTGACACAGAAGGATAAGAAAAGTGGAAAAATCAAACCTTTGACTTATTACAGTTATCTAGATAATAATAAAATCCATTTAAAGAAGGATTTGGTTATATCATGAAGATTGTAAAAACATGTGACCTACGAAATGCGTTTCTCTTGATACAAATTCTAACAGACCATCCCCAGGTTATTAGATTATACCAAAAAGCTCATTTCGAGCTGAATCCACATGTCATCATCTCATGGGGACATGCATTGTCCCAATCAAACAGTACCTATAATTGAGTAAATGGATCAAACCTTGACTTTCGTTTCGCAGACATGGTGATGGGTGTCCCCAGAAAAGGTTCAGGAAGAGTGGATGAAAGTTTGGGGCTAGGACATTTTTGTGCCATTGTTTTTGGACTGCAAGAAATATAATGATGACATGATCAAAACAAAATGAAACATTGAATTCAATAATTAGTCAAGTAGAGTCACCTTTTTATTGGGGAAGACTGGGGAGAGTCTCTACCAATCCACACTTCCTCAATCTTGGTCAAAAGATTATTGATGAAACCAGCTCTCGAAATGACGTTTTCACTTGCAGATCGCTTTGAGATTGTTGAAAGAGGCTTTGGCCGTGAAACTGGTTTGGTCACAAAGTGAAATTTATTTAGTATTGTAGTCATATTAAATAAGTGGGATACCCAACGTATCTTTTTCAATATCACACATTGTTTGTTCCAACAGAAAGTCTGGTAGTAAAATGTTCAGACTGTTAACTGGCATTTTCGTATGCACAAACGAGGAGCGATGTTAGTACCGCTGTGATTTGGTTTGCATGTTGACGTTCACACGAATGTGTTCACTTGTCTGGTATCGTGATAGAGTAAACATTGATTCAATAAACCTGTGTGTTAATGGAGCTAACAAGTTCTCTTTATCTTTATCTCTTGTCTTTTTAACCCCTCATTTGTCCAGGAGTGACACATTGCAGAGCAAGTTTAGAAAATCATTGTCAATTTGATGACTCCTGACCGGCAGTCAAAATGTATCCATGCTGAATATTAAAAGGTGACTACTTCCGACTTGCCATGCAGTTATTTACACATTTTTATTTTGAGATAATGACCAAACTGTAGAAAGAAATATACTCTTACCTTCTTTGTGAATGGTTAGAGGGCGTTGATAAGGTTTAGCTCGCTCCAGCGCCAACTGTCTCTGAACTCTGGGCAAAACTTTCCCATATTGATCAAGAATGGCGTTTCTTATATTTGATTGTTCTTTGAGTTTTGGATCCCTCTCATTCTGTTGAACATTTGTGCTTCAGTATGTTTGTTTAATTACAAACCATGGCACAAACCTGAATGTTGAACACTTACCACCAGATTCATTTTCAGTGAGTGGTTGAGCTGCAGAGCAGGTATGTAGTTTGCTTGCTGAAGGTAATGCACCATCAGAAGCTCTCTATTCTGAAGTCCACCAGTGCCTTGGAGAAACTTCTCCAAACTCTCCTGTGAATCAAATCAAGAGACAAAATGTAACTTTAGATGTCACAGTAACAGCAGAATTTTTAGCAATGAGTCGTACTTGTTCAGAGAGGCCGAGGGGAAGTTTCAGCAACTCCTTGATCAAACCCAGCTCCTGACAGGTCTCAAAGAGAAAGCCCAAGAGCTCACTGATATTTAGATGATTTGAATGCTGACGTGCTAAGGACCATGCTTCAATAAGACATCTAATAATAATACAAATAAAACCAGCTGTTGACAACGGTTATTACACAAAAGTATGGCTCCGGCTCTGGAGGTTACATTTGACTGTACCTGTTGTGGAGTAGGACCAGGAGGCAGAGTTTGGCCTGTGACGTGGACACCATGATGGGTTTGGTGACGTGAAAGTACCTCAGTGCCTCAGCGTGTTGGCCCTGACACATAAGAGCCTGTAGCACGCGCTCATGCTGCCACACAAACGGACACTGAGAGGCAGCGGGGTGTAGGAGCAGTTCAAAGGCACTCTGAGGAAGACCAACACCAATCAGGTAAAAAAAAACAAGACCAATGTCATTTTTTTGTATTTTAACACCAATGTAAAAGTACCTGGTGGTCGTGGTGGTCCAGGAGCCAGAGTCCTTGTATTAACTTCACCAAACCAATAGGAATTGCAAAGGCTGTGGGGAAAGACTCCACTGATGCTCCATCTTTGTTCGAGAAAGCATACATCACATCAAGCAAAAGGTAAATAACCTAAGCAACATTAGTTAAGGATTATACAGGGACAAATTAAATATGAAAGCAGATTTTTCTTCTACAATAATTGAAGAGGATACAATTGCGTGTTTGGTAGCTTCATCAATGTTGTCAAGAAGGTAGATATCCAACAAAGCCTGTGAATCAAAATAATACTTGTGAATAGTTCTAGGAATGTCAAAGTATCAAAAATTAGCTGTTAAATAGCTACAAATAATGTCAATACTAAATACTAATGTGAGCAAGAATAGATACTAAATAAAAGATGCAACATTTCTTGAAATGTTTTGTATGTATTTCCAACGATATGAGAAGAACTTGTATAAACTTGTGTGGCCCCATAGAAAGTCATTATAAATGTGTAAATATTAGCTGTGGTATTAATACATTTTTCTTAGTGACAATACTACTGCACCCAGCAGGTAAATAATACAATTATCTCCATCTTACATGTAAAGTAGGAGGTGGATATTGCCCTGTGCCTTCTTCGTCCCTTTTCCATAACTTAAGCAAGCGCTCCCCACATTGGTCAACAAGCCCATCGATCATGAGGCAGTCTGCACACCACTTTCCCCTGAAATGTTAAACATTTGAGTGACATCAGTACAGTTATTAAACAGTGTACAAATTGTAACAAATTATTTGCCATATTGCAGGTATGAATTATTTCAAATGTTAGTAAATCAGAGGTTAGCTTATACACAGTAACCATCTTAGGAAAGCTACCTACTTAGCAAGCCTTTTCAGCTCTTCTCTCCGGATGCTATAATAATTGCTGATAATAGAATGACTGTAAAAAGGCCTGGAAATCTGGAGCGCATCCTCAACTGAAAGAAAGCAGAGCAGATGTTAAAAGGTATAACATTGAGTAATTATAACACGTTTAAAATGCTTTGCCGTTGTGTCTTTACCGGATCCCTCAGGCAGAAGGCCAGTTCGACAAAACCAGAGCACGACTTGAGCATACTTTGAAATGAGCCCAGACACCATGTTCTTGTTCATCAACCCCACCAGCCCTGCACACAAAACAGGTTTTCACACTCAGCTGATAAAGCAATTCCTTCGCGCAACAGAAGAAAGGAATTGCATACTACCTTTCTGAGTGAGTTCATGAGCTTCACAGAGCAAACAATTAAAGATGGTGCTGAGGTTTGTGAGTAATCTTTGGCAGTGCTGAAGCAATTGCAGTGTCTGTGGGTCGGTAAAGTTTGATGAACTGTCAAATAGTGGTGCACCTGCAGATGAAAACAAATACGGAATCAGTTAACATGCAGTAAACACATTTTATGAATCTAATCCAAAGCCAAACATACAGATGCCGTCCAGCTCTTCTTTTGTCTGGACAACTTTACTCCAGGCCCAGTCCAGAATGTACCGCAAATTCAATGCAGAACCAGGTTGTTCTAGCATAAAAACAACAATAAGGGAACGTATGTACTGGCATAATTATCTAAAAAGTATTGTATTCTCACCTTCTGCAGTCCATTGCTTAATACAGCCAGTAATTAATCCCAAAGAGCTGGTCTCCACAGCTGTGCATAATATGGCATCTAGCTGCTCCTCCTTTAAAATAAATAAATTCATGAATAAAAACAATTATGGGACTTTCATTCTGCTATTTTAACCAAACAGAGTGATTGAAGGCAAGAGACGTTCTGGAGAAATTCACAAATTGAAGTAAACCCTCTAAAAAGGCATACTTGTGTTTTAAAGCGATGTAAACAGCTCTGACCATGACATCGCAAGTTTGAGATGGGAGGCTTTAGACTGAAGAAATGTGTTTGTGCCATATGTAACGAGGGAACAAGGGTGTAATATGGTTAAAGAGACAATGTACAGCCATTACCTGAGAGAGACTAGACGCCTGAGTGTCTGTCAGGCGACTCGAGAGCAGACCAGACATGAGACAGCGAGAATAGATAGAAGCGATAACGTCACTAGAACAAGGAGCAGCTTTCTTTAAAAAACCCAGTGCCTGAAAATAATTATCAAGAAAAGTTAATGAAACCAATTATTAAAAAAAGATTTTTTGAAAATAAATTCTATATCTAACCTCTTTTTGATATCCAGAGCAGGTTAGATGTACAATTCCAGTGTTGAGCAAACAAGTGGCATCTGCAAGTGTATTTATTTTTGGATTTTTTATTTTTATTGCGATCAACTTCAACAGCAACACTATAAACATGGGCTTCTTACTAACCAAAGTTGTATGTTGTCGGATTGAAGTATTGCTCAGGGGGAGGGCATGTGTGCGGTAAACCCCTGCTCAGGCTGCGCTCATTCACCAACACATCCAGCAGCATGTGAGGGGACACCGCCTGCATCACTGCGTCCAAAGACCACACGGCCAAATAAGGACAATTCTGTAGCGACTCTCCAGCTCTAAAAATAAATTAAAGACTTAGAAAACACAAAGGCTTAAGGAAAAATAGCCAACTCATACCTTAATGAATCTGGCATTTGTGCATGATACCAGCGGTTGATGTCAAACACTCCAATGAAGGTAGCTGGGGTTCCCTGTCCATAGGCCTTTACTTGCCAAATAAAAATCGACACACTCGTGTCAGGGGACGATACTAAAAAACATAGAACAGATAGTTTAACATATAGTTACAGATTAATAAACAAACGTACAAAATTAATAAGATTGATTAAAAAGCATACTTTCATTCATGCTGTCATCTCTGTCAAGATGAGGTCTGAATTTCTCAATCGTCTGACAATTAAGCAAGCGCGTATTAGTGGCCTGCGCCCTAAGAGGAAACGCTGTCCCGCTCAACTCCTGACTATAACGCTCCTCACAGTATTCCAAGCCCTGTTAACACAACACAAACATTCCAAGATACAGATATAACAGATATGACAGTTCAAGGGTTACTGTTCCGTGTTCACACCTCATAAAGGATTTTTCCAGAGCCTGAACATTTTCTTTCACTGAAGGCCAGTTGCAGCAGATGGAGACTGACCATATCACCTTCACTATTATAAGAAAGAAAAGGATTACGTGTTTTTATACTTTAAAAAAACAAAAACAAAAACAAAAGAGGAGAGATTTGACTTACAGATCTTGAGAGGACTGGACAGCCCAGAGGTAGCAACAGTTTCTAGGATCATTTTCAGGCTCTTGGAAGGTAAATGCATTCACAGGGACTTTTCCACCTTCTAACTGAGAATGGTATCTAAGTAAAATAGTAAATGTTATAAACATCTGGTATTAATCTAATTACTCATAAATAATTTGTACATCTCAATGTCTTACTCTTTCTTTAGAGCCTTCATGTTCCACAGATGCATGTATCCATCTGAAAAACCTACAGCCAGCTGGTTAGTCCTGGAGATGTATTGGAGAGCAGAAGCTCCAACACCTGTGGCTCCATTCAGCTGGACACAAAGATGCCTCCCTTCTCTGCAGCTGACCTCCCTGAGCTTAGGGATCTCCGCTGGGGACTTTGTCACAACCTGTAAGTCTTGAGCAGAGCAAAGAACATTAATTAGGATATGACATGAAAGGTAGTATTGACATTTTGTTGGGCCGTTTTCAAGGTCCTCACCTGACGCTTCAAGTTCACTTTGGCTGCAAGAAAGATCATCAAGGCAGAGATCCACTAAGAGAACATGCCCCAGGTCAGTTCCAACAGCAGCTATGCCGAAAAACCAGCGCAAACTCTGATGAAGATGCTGCGTTGAAGCACTTGCGCCACCGTAGCTCACCAATGGCTCAATATATGTTATCTGTAAGAAAAACATTTATTGATTAATTAGATTATAGTGACATTTTAAACAGTGAAATGTTAACCACATTTATGTTTTCTCACCCGGCCAGGTATAACCACAGCTTTTACAACCCGTGACAATCCCAAGTCGTACAGGCACAGCACACTACCTTCAGCCTCCTCCAAGCCAATAAGTAACCCAGATCTTTAGTTAAAACAAAATAATGTCATGTTATGTTATAAATGCCTCAATGTTTTTCTTTAATAATAAGAAATAACTATCAGTAAATTGAGACTTTATTTGAGACCCGACCTTTTTAACCAGCTAAAATCTTTAGCTGCCAGGATGCAGGGTGGATGTTCTCCTCCGCCACTGAAAGAGTATGCAGACAGCCGCTCCCCTGTCGCAGTATGAACAGTCTCCAGATGGGGTCCACATGACAGCCAGGCAAGCCCACTTCTCCCTTCAAAATCATGAGTTATGTTTTGCACGCATGTACTGATTGTTGTTCCATCCAGACAAACATACCAACAGTGAACTTCCCCTGCAGAACAGAGTCCAGAGTTATTTCATCTTCTCCCAAGGCATTTAATGTGACTCCGGGGAAGGGTATGAGACTGCTGGTGAGCTGAGCCGTCAGATCATGCATCGTGCACTAGTAGACATAAATACCATTTAAACATTGTACATCAAGCCTTTTAGAGGACAAAATAACTATAACACCATCAAAAAGTGTACTGGTATGTGTGTTTAGAGTGCAGTCTATTGGTGGAAATGGACTGTTGGACTATTGTTGATTGTGAAGAACAAGCAAAGTATTTTTTACATAAGACAGCTGCACACAGCTGTCAGGAAACTGGATGGCAGCTGTAATAGTGAATATTCTATGCTTGGTGGTAACGTGGTTCTACAACCATAGTAAGGGTGTTAACAAAGAACTATTGTTATTTCTTCTGGTAATAAAAATTGCATAAAAATGTAAAATGTTAGAAGAGTAGCAACACAATTTGAATAACACAATACAGCTGCAATGACATATTGACACACATTGAATTGAGCTGCGTCAAACTATTACAAATACAGCAAATGACACCATTCCAAGAATTTCCTGGAAAATTAAAATAAAATTAATCTTTTTAATGATAGATATTAAAACTATAAAAGAATGATAATATTTTGTATAGTGCTAAAACATCCAATTAAAGAAACAAGCAGGCATAATAGCACAGGTTTCCTTGAAATGTAAGTTGCATTACAAATTTAATGATTCGTTTTTCAGCCCTTCTGTGTCATATTTCACACAATAATTTAACACTAAATAAAACGATTGGTTTTAATTATTTAGAATGATATAATCATCACTATTCAGACAATAATACGACGCTCAGTACGCCGTAATAAACAACTTGGTTACAACACTGCCCCCAGTGGCGACACCTGGCAACACAGTAGTTTCAAGTAGATTCCCGCGCAGCGACGTCTGTCACTGCGCTCTGATTAATGTACAAAATACAGAGTGCAGTTTTACAATCCAGTGTATACTTCATGTTTAACATTAAACACCATTCTTGTGTTTGGGACACTCTGCCTAAAGGGGGTTTGAGAGTTTTACAAAGTGGTACAACATCAGTGTTAATGCTGGAAACTGTCAACACAATTTGTCAAGAGGACACATCTGCACAAAGCGGACTCCAAGCTGATATAACAATTTCATTATAACCTCATACAACTCTCCTCCACAATCCTCCTGCTAGCTCACAAGGTCACACAGCCGTAAGCTTTCCGTGGCTTAAGCTAGTGTAATCGAGGAAACGATTCAGTTTATCCAAGCTATGACGCTAGATAATAACTGCAAAGGGGATCAAGCTTTACAGAGGCTTAACTGGGCACAGTGTCTAGTTCTCACTCTTCATGATTTCAGTGAACATGTGGCTAACGTTAGCCTTTTAGACTTTAGAGAATAAACGCTCATTACAGCACAAGTATAAAGTACCCACCCAAAGGAAACAATTGGTTACGTATTCATGTTTCCAAGGAAAGAACATTGGGATGAATACAGACATTTACTTTAAAATGTTGCTCCTAATAGCACACACAGAAGCGACTCAAACACGTCTGACTAAGGCGCAGTGATCCACATAGACGCTTAGCAACACACACATCTTACAACCATGGCCTTCATTAATTGGTCGTTTTAATCACCACAAACAAACATGTTAGCGCGACTAGCGGCTTCTTCAGACCAGAGCTGTTAAAAACGTGATGCAATGTGCCGCTAGCCTGGACCTACCTGAGTCTGGTAAAGTCTGCCACTTTAGCCTCCAATGTTTATTTTTTCGTGGCAGTAGCTCGAAACTTCTATCTCCCTGGTCATAATCAAGTCCGTATGACAGTCGTTCAAAGATTGCTGACTGAAAAGAGACAACACTTGCTCCAGACCTGAAGCTGAGACTACCTTAGCATGAGCATAAGCGCCATTTCCAAACTCTGCAAAGAGCACCAGCCAGCACTTCCTGCTCAAGGCGCCCCACGCAAAAGACGCCCTCCACAGGATGGGAGGAATTACAGGATTCGTTCGATCCATAGACTGTAAAAATTATCGATCACGAAAACGATTTATTTATTTACTATAATCTTAAAATAAAAATATACTTTGCAATTTTTTTATAACGTATGTTTTTTGGGGCATATACACAAAAGAATGAAAAAACATTATCTCAACAACTCAACAGCTTTCGGTTCTTAAAATTCTCACAATTTGCTTCACGCACTGTTAGAATGTCTCAAATATGGACAGAGATGGTGGATCTGTAGTCTATGATACAACATATACTAGAGCATAGAGTGTATACATATATTTGTGATTATTATGTTCTTTATTCAAATAGAAACTAATATATAAACAATACATACTTTTCTCCAAGGACTATGCCTTGGCCTGTCACTATTATTGATTGTGCACCACACTCCAAACATTCAATACATATATTTCATACATTTGTTATTTTCTTAGTTTTCTGTAGAGAAATTGCAGTTGTCAGATACAGTGAGTATTTCTGTATTATATAAGAATCAATGGCATGAAGTAGTTTCAAAATTGTAATCGCAATCACCTCCTAAAGCCATACATTGTCCATTAAAACTTATTGTGACAGGTCGAGAGCGTCAAATCTTGTTGACAGTATCGGCCTGTATAAAAAAAAAAAAAAAGAGTGGCACTTCATAATAATGGCACAAAGTTTGAAAAGCATTCATTTCAGTTTAAGCCAGCAGAAAGCAGGAGAAAAGGGATGGATGAAGAATTATGAGTCTGTGACAATTGAAGATTTCTTCCTAATCAGTTGTTCAATCACTGCATCAAATTCTTGCCTTTCCCTAAAAAGAGCAGAAAAAAAAGTTGTTACATTATTCTGACATTGTGACAAGTTCACCATCTTACCTGTTGCTTAAACAGCGTCCTTTCAGATACTTTTCTTCTGCCTTTTTCATTGAAAGGCCATCTTGTCGAGCTATGGCATGAATGATGGCCTGTTGATAGAAGATTACATTTGTTCTTTTATTTAGTTGTTAGGGGTAGTGTTATACAGCGAAATAAAATGATTACGTACCTCAGGTAAAAGAACATCCAGGATAAAGGGAACAGGATCTGCTGATTTAACACTTCCAAGGCAAGAGTCCATCTGTGCAGCTGTTGAACGCAGCTTGTTCAAATAACAGTAAACCTGGTCCAGTTGTTCATCATCTTCTAAATATACTTTCACGATGTGTCTTCGTTTTCTCCGGGCGCTCAAGAACGAGCAAAGCCACTTTGACTGCTGCTGCCCACACATCACCTCCTAGAAAAAGGGAAAAAAAACTTGGTTTTAAGTCATATATTAGTTTGAAGTTTAGTTTGTTGTATTTCAAGGTGGGGACATTGCAAGCAAGCAGTAAAATAATTGTTTGTTCCAATAGAGACTTCCTTTGAGTCACTTTTGGAGCAGTGACTTGCATGCATAGCATGCATGGCATATTTACATTTATGGTCATAATGTCGTGGACATTTCTTAAGAGAACTGTATGCAGTTTACAGTCCCCTCACTGTAAACTGCATACAGCAAAAAATAATGTTGACCAAGTTTATAAACTAAAGACATTTTCTATCTAAAACAAAGTGCAACAATTACGTCAATTGTAGTATTAAGCAACAGAAATGTGATCAGCAAAAATAATATAATTAATAAAAATATAACTGCAGACTAAAACCAAGACAGCAGTAATCAGATCATACCATCAGATCCTGTTCCACCACCCGCTGCTTCACAATAAAATTAACAAGTTTCTCATTTGCACGATTGTGAGCAGCGCGAGTCCGGTCAGGCAGCAGTCTCCTTGACTGCTTTGGATCTTCATCCTGCTGCTCATTAAAACTGTCATCAAGATCTACACTTGTGAAGGATTGCTCCATTTCCAGTTCAGTGGCAAAATTCAGTTGACGTGAAATGGCCTCGTACTTTCGTCTGACTGGATAACCTGAAATTGTTAGGATTGTAGAAGTTAAAAGGACAAGTGTTTTGCCTGCTACATATACATTTACAAACAACGTACTTATATTGTGAGTATAATACTCCGTAAATGAGCCAGAAAATGATCCAATTCCTAAATAAACATCATAAGTTTAACACAGATTCTCCAACAACTTGTTAAAATTCCAAAAATACAAAAACTGTTTTACCTTTCCGCATTATGTAATCCTCTATGAGATCAACGCACCATTGAATTGAGAGATCATACTTTTCTCTGGCTTTACACTGCAATAATTGGAGAAGACAATGTTAATGCAGTGTGCTACATGTGGCAACATCTGGTAAAAAAGGAGGAGGCTTACGATGAGCTCATTGAATTCTTCACATTCATAGGGTTTGAGAGTTCTTAGAGAAACTATAAAGCTTCAACAGATAATGAAACAATTAAACAAAAAGTACAAATAAAAATCCAAAAACATTTAAATATTATTCTCACCCCTTCTTTTGTTGAATTAATTTCTCATCGACGACCAAAATGCTGGCTCTTTTTATTTTGTGGTACACCCTCTTCACCTAGAACGGCATATTTGTACCACTACGAACTTCTCACTTTCACTTTTATGAACATTGTTAGACTCACCAGTGCTGGCCAGAAAGGATAGTTTCTGAATTTGTACCACACAAATGATCCAGGTGTTATTGAGGAAGATTCTATTACATACAAAATATACATACAAAAAAATCAATGTTTAAAACATAAAATAAAAAATGTGTTATACAACTACATCAAAATACCATAATAATCTTTTAGCACATTAATACTGTAGTTACTTAACTTAAAATTCATGAAATATATATGAATCCCATGCATGAATCTCTGGCCGCTTGCACAGCCACAACAACCCCTTTTTTGTCACAATCTTAAAAATGTATTGTAAACTTTCTGAGGGTAAACTTTCAGAATTAGAAGAGAATTAGCTACCCTAAAAATGATGTGACAAAGAAATTACTCTAAGTAACTATTTCAACTGGGAACATGAAAAAACAAACTAATTTGACTGTTACTCTTTAAAAAAAAAGAGTAACAGTCAACTGTTACTCCTCCATTTCCACAGGAATGATTATTTAAGTTGTTATTTCAGTAATATATCAAAAAACTCCTTGCAGAAATATTGCAATTAAGATATTAGGCCAAAATCATGCATCGATCATAATTGTGGCAAACCTTGAAAACAATATTTACAGTATATGTTCAGGACAGAACTCACTTGTGTCTACCAATAAGAAACTTGGAAAGTCCTCATCTTCTTCCTCCTGGCTTTCCTCGTCCTCTTGAAAGGACAAATGGGGCCCTGGTTCCTCATGCACACTAAGTTCTATGGACAGGTCTGATGATGGCAATTCATCTGTTCAAGTCAAAACAAGGAAACATTAAGGAACAAGGAAATCAGTGCACGTTTGCTGCTGAACATTCTATGAGCAAATGCTTGAATCTTTTCGTCGAAAGACAAAAATGCACAACATAATTTACTTGCCTGAACTCGAAATGTCAAAATGTAACCTTGGCCTCACACGTCTAGTTTGCTCTGTTAAATGTCCATTTGAACTAGTGCCATCTTTGGATTCAATGGGAGAGCTGGTCCTTTTTCTAGGCACTGCCTGCTCGCGTGACTTCTGGCCTCTCCTCGGACGACAAGCCTTCTCTTCAGGCTCTGATATCTAAAAGTGATCATGAAAATAATTAGCTGAAACTATATTAAATAAAAAAGAAACAAAGTAGGTCTCTATAAAACTGCAGCAGCAGCATAGCTACCTTTGCATTTTGGACCTTTTCGCCAGGAGAAGGCATATCCGTGAAATCTGAACAAGTGTGCAGGTGAATAATACAACAAAGCATCTATCTAAACTAAAATATCTGGAAGGTAATTTACCTGCGGTTGATAATAGTAGGTTGGTTGTTGTTCTGGCTACATGTCATAGAAAACAGTTCCCACATTGAATCTAACACTGAACATTATCCGTACGTCAAGGTTGACTAATGTTACAAAAAGAAGGCTTGCAAACATTTATGCAAGCGTTGCCAAGTAACATTACTTTACAGTAGTGTTCTTAATACAACACAAAAGCAATGCTTGTTGTTGCAAACGTACAAGAAAAAAGGTTAGTAAACAATGTATCCGCCTCCCTCAGCGGGCTTTAAACATTTCCTTTCAGTTTGACTGAAACTGTCAGGCAAACAAATAATAAACATTTAGACCGTCCAAACGCAAAGAAACTATTTAAAAAAAAATCAGAATTCGAGTGCTTTAAGTAACTTCCGGGGTTTTCTTCTTTAGCAAAACGTGATGGGTAAAGAGGTGAACAGCGCCCCCTTAAGTCACGAAGGTAACACAGCACTCGTACATCCAGCAGAGGGCGCTATGAGTCTACTCTCATGTGTGCGAGAAACATTCTGCTCTCAATCCTTCAAAAAGTAAGCCTTAAAAAGTTAAAATTGTCATGACACGAGATTTTGATTTTAGACATATTTACTAATCCTTTGTCCGTTTGGAGTATTTGTCGTACATTTTAGTCACGTTGAGAATGTCTCGACATGATAGGCTTACAAGAACCTGCATGTTTTATTTGTCGCCTTTGGGGGATTTATAATAATACAAAGGATTTATTTTATTTTATTTTTTTAAAGTAGTTAGGCATTCACAGTCGGTCAGGTGTCTGGGCTGTGGTGACCTGGTGGACAGAGAGTGCGTTCCGCCTCCACACGGCTCCATGATCCATACTGATGCGCACTGCTGGGAGAGCGCACGGATCCACAAGTCCATTGGACCAGTCCACTGCAGGCTACGTTCACAATACTATGGCGGATAGTAATAATCTTAAGTAAAGTGGTAGTCACATGTGTCAGGGACGCACATATTGGATTTGGTTTACCTGTGGATCGTTCCCAAAGCTGCGAGAGGAGGCTGATCTGTGATGATGCTCCTCTGCTCTCCAGGACCGCGCATCACTGCGCACACGCGCTGCTGACAAGGAGCGGCAGACTGGTCTCCTAGAGAGACTGGACTAAAGCACTGTTTTCTATTGGACTTTCTGCCAACGAACTTGGATTTAACCAGTCATCCACATGTACTTGGAAGCGTACCACCAGATCAAGAAAAGCGAGCTGCAGGGTCTGCACTTTAACATTGCGTCTTTTTAGGGGATATTTTGTCCGTGCCCTTCTCTACTCATCGCCCCATCATGACTTCTCTGTCGGGAACGAAGGAACGATCTGGGAGTAGCAAGGGCAGAAAATATGTGGTAGGTTATGGTTGAACTTCAGCAGCATTGCCTCAAAACATATTTAATGTTTGTTAATCGCCTACTTTTATGCAATTTAAAACACACGTGACTTTTTGGTGGAAAATACTTGTTTTCATTATGCTGCTATTGCTTTATTGGTAAAGTTCCACAGTATAACATGGAGTTACTTATCTTGCCATTTCAAAAGAATATTTTCATATGGAGTAAGGTTCTTCTCTCCACAAGATCTCATCGGTTTCAACAAGGCTCTTATTGTGGAATTGTCCTGGCAAAGCATCAAGCAGGTGGTGCTCCTCATAGTGCTCTTCATCTTGAAACGTGAAAACGTGAAAAGTCCTGCATGAAATCTCACATCTTAAGGCAAACATCTATTTTATGTCCACCATAACCACCATAACCACCATAACCACCTGTCACAACCTACAACCAGTGTATTGTTTGAAATCTCCCACTGAGTGCAGAGCTGAACCAAATGGTTGTTATTAAAACCTACATATCACCATCATCATCACCAGTGGCGGCTGGTGGAATTTTCTACTGGGGGGGCTATGAATATGATGACTAGATATATACCAGCAGTAAGTAAGTTTACACTGACTGTTGTGACTGAAGCCTCACACGAGAATCAACAAGGTCACATGATGCTTTCTGATCCCTACCCTGTAGCTTTCATCCAGCTGGGATGAAATATTTATCTTCCCAAACATAGCTAATATGAGGGCATTTTGCATGTGGATACCAGTCTGCTCATGCTTCTTTGCCTTTTCTAAAAAGTGCTTCAGATCAGTCATACCTGTCTTGATCCATGCTGGGTCAGATCCTGATGTTTGAAACAAGAGGCATGGAAAGCAAAATAAAGCATTGGCCTCGCTACATGCTGCTAGCCAAGATTTGGCGCAGAACCAGGTCCTGGAAAAAGTACGAGTGTACCGTCTCCCCCTGTCGCTGGACTGCTGACTAATGGTAATATTTGGCTGATCAGGTCCAAGCTCTTTAACCTCAACCTTCTCCTGGTATGATCTTCTCTCAAACGGTATTGTTTTGAGTGATCTAACTGAATTATTATTTTTCTCGTTCTCCATTTTGCGTCTCTTTACGTTCGTCTCAAACTCCCACAGCTTGACCTGTCAATCACTGTAAACGGACGTCACAGACAGTGACAGTACAGGTCGCGGGCGACCCCGCCCCCTCAGGGCGCACTTCTCCTGCGCCCCCAAATCGTCTTATCTCTTGCATTGAAGAGGAGCTACTGCGCATGTACAACTTTTAACGAGAGTCCATAGACGGCTCAGGGCGCAATCTTTTGCGCCCTGAGGCGGAAATACGTCCTCAGTCCGACACAGACAACGCTGATGAGCTTAATCAATCCAACTCAGCATAAACTATAAAGTATTTCTTCCACATCTGAAATAAAACACACATAAATTTCGAAATATTTTAATGTTATTATTTTTTTTTAACGTTTTATTCAAGGTAACATGGAAAGTTGTGAGTGGTGCGGCGCCCTAGCGCCCTCTATTGGCCGGCCGCCACTGATCATCACCACTATTTACAACAAACTACACGGTTTTAAAGATCATTTGGCAAGTAATTGCATTCTGTCCTAATGTTTGGACTGTCTAGAAGGTCGATATAATAATAAGAATACAATTATTGAGCAACAATGAATAATATAATGGTGCACATTATTGTTGAATACATCCATGCATCAAAATCACATTTTTATTCTTTCATTCATCTAATCTTTTCCAGGTACCTGACACATCTCCTACCAAATCGTCTTATTTACCAGAGACTTGGTACCGAAAAGTCTACGAGGAGGCCCCCCGCTCGAGCACACGCCCTGCCCCTGAGGGCGCTGGATCCATGCCCAGCTCCACAGGCACCCCGTCCCCTGGCTCTGGGATCTCCTCTCCTGGATCTTTCTCGGGTTCTCCGGGGACCATCTCTCCAGGCATCGGTACAGGGTCCCCAGGTTCTCTCGGTGGCTCCCCTGGATTTGGGACTGGCTCTCCAGCTTCAGGGAGCGGGAGCTCCCCTGGCAGTGAACGAGTCATCTGGTGTGAGAATTGTAACGCCAGGTTGACTGAGCTCAAGCGACAAGCACTGAAACTGCTCATCCCAGGGCCATACTCCAGCAAGGTAATCAACTTTCTTTTCTTTTGATCTACCTTTCAATGCGGCTGGTTTTTCTGCGTGTTTTGTATGAACTTAGACTGTTGATCAATGTTTCTAATTTACTGACCTTAATATGTCTTGGCAAGAGACCATCACTATCAAATGATATTTATTGTCCACATTTTTTATCATATTGACATTCATAACTACACAGTCCAGTCCACAAACCTGTAAAGCTGGCAGGGCTGGGAAAAAAATGGGATGTTACTATTAACCCTGTAGATCTGATGTGTACTGTAGGACTGCATTGGACTCCATAGGACAAATCATACATGGGTCACACACCTGATATACACAGACAGTTTAGATCAGGGCAGGGAGAGAGCCTCCTCTCAGGTCAGGGGTACCACTGTATCAGACTTGACCTGGGGCCGACAACTTGGATTTAAAAACTGGATACGCACTGGATTGACTGAATTCTGGAATGCTGCATTTTATGTTGAATGTTGTGACACAATCATAAAACAAATGTTGGTATATAACAATAGAGTCAATGACTGGATTTCAGAGGGTCTGAGATTTACAACAAGGTATATAGCATGATTGTATAGGTGGAGCTGAAGTTGGTTGGATGACACTGTCAAAGTGCCTGAATGGCGAGTTTGTGTTAGCAGCAGAGGGCCACATAAAATGGCACAGAGGGCCGCAATTGGTCCGTGGGCCTGAGTCTTAGGTTATCCTTCTCTCTTCGCTCAATAGTCAAGGTCGATGGTGGCAACTCTTCAGCAGCAGGTTCTTTAGTCAGGTCTACTTTAGATCTTCTATGGTTTGTGTCTCCAAAACAATTTGCCTATAACTATTTGTTCTCTCAAATCAAAAAGGAAGAATTACAGACTAGAAGTACAATGTTGCCATGATACCCCCTCATCTTTTGGATAAATATTGTTTACCTAATGCTTCTTATATGCTAATCATTGATCTTCTAGTGTCACTGTGGTTACATTGATGCTATTTCACATCTATGCTTCTGGACACAATATGCATAACTGATTAAGGCTGCTCTAGATACTTATAAAAAATGAAATTGTATACTTGGCCTATGAAGTGGTAAAGCGGATTTACATCGTTATTAGAATACAGTGTGCATTTTTGCAGCATTTTCTCTCAATGGTAAGTTGACATATTCCGGTTTTTGAAGTGATTTACTAATTCTCACAATTTACCAAGCACTTACATCTATGGAATGTAGTGGAAAGATTCAGACCTTGACATAGAGAACCCATCTCCTCTGAGGGTCTCGCACTATTCATTCAACATCATTAATAACAAGATGACTTACCAAACGTGTCGGTCAAGGAAGCCAGTGGTCAGTAAGTGTCCATGGGATTCAAACAGGCATTTAATAAGACGCAATTAGAGAATGCTCCTTCATCCCACAGAGGGAGATTGTTGTCAGTTGAGGTGTGGTTCAGTGAGGAATATGGTGAGTGACCTTCTCTGCAGTTTTGAACTTGTAAAACAAAAGTCTGTAAGCAAATTCAGAAGTGTTTTTCGACTTGCTGAGTCCCGCTCAGGACACTGTGTCAATGTGTCACCCACTTGTTATGGGCATAAACAAAATGTTAAGTTTACCTGGTTGAAGTAATGGCTCAATAAAATAATTTGACTTCCCATTGAAATGAACAAGCGTGAAAAGCTGTATCGGGTTATCTGTTAAAAAGTTATCACTCCCTGCTTTGAGAACCACCAAAATGGCATTTTGTGACGTTTGATTTGAGGTTGATCTTTATGTACAAAACATTAATAAAACTCCACACACTTTATTTATTTTCTATGATTTGTAAGTGCAAACTGTTAAATATTTGCACAAATTGGATTAGCTGCATAAATTCGATACTAATTCTCTCCTAATGACATCTTAGACGACGAGGCACTAATTCGTCAAAAGGCATGCACTAGTGAGTCCTCAGCAGGGAGGTTTTTCTGTATTGTGGTAGAGTAGTTGTCCAATCTCATCATCACCAGATCCGTGTAGAAGTAGACCATTGGTAACCGCTGCAGCTGCTGTTTCCCGGGCAGCTCCTTGGCGACAGATGTGACACGGGTGCACATCACAGCTAATGGGCGGCTCATCGCTGTGTGCATGGTGGCGATAGGCAAGAGGCTGGGACTGTATAGAATTATTCTTGGGTAACAGCACCACAGCTCCCATGATGCTTAGTGTTAAGGCAAGGCAAAATGTGTATTATAGATGGAGAGTGAAGGAGAGAGATATCATGTGCTCTTATGCCTCTCAGGTGTGAAAGACATTACCATATAAAGAGGTGGCATCATCAATAACAGCAGACTGAGCGGATGGATAGATTTTGTTGAGGAAGGAGGAAGGGTTGCTGATGCAGGCAGAATCCAAAAGCCATCTCAGTGGCTTTGTGTTAATGGCACCTTACCGGCACCTCAGATCACATATGAGGAGGTAAAATCTTATCTGGTTGGTTTTCTACCAAGTGCTGTTCCAAGTATGTATCTCTAGTAAGTTTAATAAGGAGAGATGTTAATTGATTTCACGCAAAGAGATGCAGACTTG